CCCTGCAGTGTCTTCCAGGCGGAGCTCGGCAACAGCATCCCCCTGGTGCGCACCACCATCGCCGACACCCGTATTGTCGGCCGCATGACCGTCGGCAACCGCCACGGCCTGCTCCTGCCCAACAGCACCACCGACCAGGAGATGCAGCACATTCGCAACTCCCTGCCCGACTCCGTGCAGATCACCCGCCTTGAGGAGCGCCTTTCGGCCCTCGGCAATGTGATTGCCTGCAACGACTACGTGGCCCTGGTCCACCCCGACATCGACCGCGAGACCGAGGAGATCATCATCGACACCCTCAAGGTCGAGGTCTTCCGCCAGACCGTGGCCGGCGAGGTCCTCGTCGGCGCCTACTGCGTCCTCAACAACAACGGTGGTCTGGTGCACCCGAACACCTCGATCGAGGACCAGGATGAGCTGGCGTCCCTGCTGCAGGTTCCCCTGCTGGCTGGTACCGTGAACCGCGGTTCGGCCGTCCTCGGTGGCGGCCTCATCGTCAACGACTGGGCCTCCTTCGCCGGTGCCATCACCACCCCCAGCGAGAGCGCCGTCATCGACTCGGTCTTCCAGTTCCAGGACTCCGGCCACACCTCGGCCGTCAACGACGCCTGGGTCCGCGACAGCCTCATCGACAGCATGAACTAAGCGGGGATGGCCGTGCCTTCCCTCTATTTTTTCTTTGCCGTCCATGCGCGCGGCACCCCGCGCGTGTGTGGGCGTGCGAGGGTATATTTGCGCGCACGCGCGTGCACCTACAGGCGAAATCGCCTGCGGGGGCTGGCCGGCGGCCGGGCGCCACCACGACGCGCGTGTTTGTCTGTGTGTGTGTCTGTGCGCCCCGGTGGCGGCGCCATATATCCTCTCACTCTCTTCCCCCTACTTCTCCGGTATCTTGTCCTTGTTCCTCTCGCTCTCTCCCTCCCGTTGTTTGTCCTATCCCCTCCCCTTCTCTCCCGGACGCGGAATGCGGGGAGCTTCTTCTCCCTAAGCCTAGATCCCCCCCCCCCCTGTACACAATATTCAATCCAGTCCTTGCGCTCTCACCCTTGTCCGTGTGCGTGTGTGTGTTTGTTGTATCCCCCTTGTACCGTCAGCCGCTGCTTTCCTCGCCCTCAAAGACTTCAGTGCGCACATGGCCGCTTTCCCTCCTCCCCCTCCTCGATGGGGGGCTCGAGCGTGGGTCGTCCCTCCCGGCACAGGGCCGCCCCGTCATCCGCGAGAGGCGGCTCTCGCAGCATGGTTGCATGGGGGGGGGGG